TAGCTCCGATTGCCATGATCTTTATATCGTTTTCAGGGGATTTCTTCCCCTCTATCCATTGGCACACTTGGTTTTCCAAGTTGAGGCCAGGTTCATGCATTTCCTGTCACATCTTGCATTTTGCATCCCGCATCGCATCCCGCATAGCATATCATCTTCGCATCTTATTGGTTGCCCTTGCACGTGGTTGATTGTATCCTTGTTGCTTGTTTGTGTTGTTGGGTAGAGCCGGGAGACGAGTTCGCTAATGAGGAGCCCGTTGAGTTTGATTTTGAGGATCCAGTCAATTCTGACAACTGTGCAGGCACGATGATCACACCCTTGAAATCACTACTATCTTTGCTATGCTAGTTTGCTCGCTCTTTTGCTTTCCCAATGCTACGATGCCTACCACTTGCTTGTCAGCCTCCCAATTGCCATGATTGAGCCTCTAACCCACCTTTGTCCTAGCAAACCATTGATTGGTTATGTTACCGCTTTGCTCAAGCCCCTTCTTATAGCGTTGCTAGTTGCAGGTGAAGATTGGAGCCGTTTACTTGTTGGGATATCATTATATTGCTATGTTATTTTTATTCATCTATATACTTGGTAAAGGGTGGAAGGCTCGGCCTCTCGCCTAGTGTTTTGTTCCACTCTTGCCGCCCTAGTTTCCGTCACATCGGTGTTATGTTCCCGGATTGTTGCGTCCCTTACGCGGTTGGGCTATAATGGGAACCCCTTGATAGTTCGCCTTGATTAAAGCTTTTCCAGCAATGCCCAACATTGGTTTTACCATTTGCCACCTAGCCTCTTTTCCCTTGGGTTTCCGGAGCCCGAGGGTCATCTTTATTTTAGCCCCCCACGGGCCAGTGCTCCTCTGAGTGTTGGTCCGAACCAGGCAGCCTGCGGGGCCACCTCGGGGAAACTCGAGGGTTGGTTTTACTCGTAGCTTGACCTATCCGAGCGTGCCCTGAGAAAGAGATATGTGCAGCTCCTATCGGGATTTGTCGGCACATTCGGGCGGTATTGCTGGACTAGTTTTGACCTGTCGAATCATCTTGTTGTACCGGGATACCGAGTCTGATCGGTGGGTCCTGGGTGGAGGTCTATTCCTTCGTTGACCGTGAGAGCTTGTTATGGGCTAAGTTGGGACCCCCCTGCAGGGATTGATCTTTCGAAAGCCGTGCCCGCGGTTATGGGAAGATGGGAATTTGTTAATGTCCGGTTGTAGATAACTTGAACTTAAATAATTAAAATGAATCAACTGCGTGTGTTGCCGTGATGGCCTCTTCTCGGCGGAGTCCGGAAAGTGGACACGGCGTTGGAGTTATGTTTGCGTAGGCTGCTCTATATAGTTTTCCGCTCGTGCTTTGCCTCCTCTTCTCACTCTACTTTGCGAATAAGTTAGCCACCATATATGCTAGTCGCTTGCTGTAGCTCCACTTTACATTACCCCTTTCCTACCTATTAAGCTTAAATAGTCTTGATCGCGAGGGTGCGAGATTGCTGAGTCCTTTGTGGCTCACAGATTACTATTACACCAGATGCAGGGACCGATGATACTTCTCCGGATGGCGCGCTCGAGCTGAAGTGGGAGTACGACGAGGACTCTCAGCGTTACTATGTGTCGTTTCCTGATGATCAGTAGGGATGCCTATTTCAGGGTTAGATCCAGGACCTAGTCGCTTGTTGGGGGTCTTTTCCAGTTTGGCACCGTAGTCGGGCCATGAGTGATTGTATGATGGATGTTATTTATGTACTTTGATGTGACGTGGCGAGTGTAAGCCAACTATGCTATTATTCCCCTTTATATTATATATGTACATGGGTTGTGTAATGATTCCCGACTTGCGACATTGCTTTCAATGCGCCTATGTCTCTAAGTCGTGCCTCGACACGTGGGAGACATCGCCGCATCGAGGGCGTTACAGTGGACACGGACGGTCGCACACACTTCAACTCGGTTGGGTGGAAGAGCTTCCTCGTCGGCAAGAATCTTCATCTTGGACAGGCAATCCTAATTACTATCAGGAACACCCACCGCCCAGGCTTGAGGATGATGGTCGTCATCGACATCATCTAGAACTTCATATGCATGCGTGTGGCTGTTGAACCATATATATGCTAGTATGACTACCTAGTAGACTTATCAACTATGATCTATCCATGCATTGTTGACTACTATATGAGTTTGTCAGATTGTGTGGTTATATTAAATGTGGTACTGTCATTAATGTTTGTGAGATGGTTCTGCGAACTTAGTTTATTTGCACTGGACTTGTCTTGATTTCCATGAATATTGCACCTGACTGCTTTTTATTTTATTTTTTATTTCTATTTGCCTAGTTGTAGTGTGGGGAGAAAATAAGATGCTACTACTATGTGATGATAGTAGCAGCGTTGGTGGAGAAATCGGTCCTACTAATGAGTATTTTAGCTGCAGCGCTTGTTTAGAAATGCGCTACTGTTAAATAATAGTTGTAGCGCCCTAGCAGTAGCGCGGGTGCCCGCGCTACTGGTATGTAAAAAACCAGCGCCACTAGCAAGCTTTTCTCTAGTAGTGGGCGCCCATCCGCCTCTACAACGGCCACCCACCGCAGGGGAGCCGTTGTGCCTCCCGGAAGTGGCCGACGCCACGGATCTGGCACACCCTGATGCCAGCACCACCGCGCCGCCGCTCGACCTCGCCGGCCCGCGCCAGCCATCGTCGGAGCAGGGGAAGCCAGTCACCGCCGCCGACAACGCAGACAGGGCTTCGCCCTTCCGCGCGAGCCGGCGGCGACGATGGAAGAGGTGGGGGGAGTGAAGGAAATATGCCCTAGAGACAATAATAAAGTTATTATTTATTTCCTTATATCATGATAAATGTTTATTATTGATGCTAGAATTGTATTAACCAAAAACATAATATATGTGTGAATACATAAACAAACAGAGTGTCACTAGTATGCCTCTACTTGACTAGCTCGTTGATCAAAGATGGTTATGTTTCCTAACCATAGACATAAGTTGTCATTTGATTAACGGGATCACATCATTAGGAGAATGATGTGATTGACTTGACCCATTCCGTTAGCATAGCACTTGATCGTTTAGTTTGTTACTATTGCTTTCTTCATGACTTATACATGTTCCTATGACTATGAGATTATGCAACTCCCGTTTACCGGAGGAACACTTTGTGTGCTACCAAACGTCACAACGTAACTGGGTGATTATAAAGGTGCTCTACAGGTGTCTCCGAAGGTACCTGTTGGGTTGGCGTATTTCGAGATTAGGATTTGTCACTCCGATTGTCGGAGAGGTATCTCTGGGCCCTCTCGGTAATGCACATCACTTAAGCCTTGCAAGCATTGCAACTAATGAGTTAGTTGCAGGATGATGTATTACTGAACGAGTAAAGAGACTTCCAGGTAACGAGATTGAACTAGGTATTGAGATACCGACGATTGAATCTCGGGCAAGTAACATACCGATGACAAAGGGAACACCGTATGTTGTTATGCGGTCTGACCGATAAAGATCTTCGTAGAATATGTGGGAGCCAATATGAGTATCCAGGTTCCTCTATTGGTTATTGACCGGAGACGTGTGTCGGTCATGTCTACATTGTTCTCGAACCCGTAGAGTCCGCACGCTTAAGGTTTCAATGACAGTTATATTATGAGTTTATGAGTTTTGATGTACTGAAGGAGTTCGGAGTCCCGGATGAGATTGGGAACATGACGAGGAGTCGCTAAATGGTCGAGACATAAAGATCGATATATTGAACGACTATATTCGGACATCGGAAAGGTTCCAAGTGATTCGGCTATTTTTCGGAGTACGAGAGAGTTATGGGAATCCGTCGGGGAGTATATGGGCCTTATTGGGCCATACGGGAATAGAGGAGAGAGGCCAAAAGGAAGGAGGCGCCCCCCCCCCCTCTAGTCCGAATTGGACAAGGGATGCGGCCCACTTTTCCTTGTTCCTCTCCCCCTCTTTCCTTCTCTCCTACTCCAACAAGGGAAGGAGGAGTCCTACTCACGATGGGAGTAGGACTCCCCCCTTGGCGCGCCCTCCTCCTAGGCCAGCCGCCTCCCTCCCTTGCTCATTTATATACGAGGGCAGGGGGGCACCCCATAGAGACAACAATTGATCATTGATCTCTTAGCCATGTGCGGTGCCCCCCCTCCAGCATAATCTCGATAAAATTGTAGCGGTGGTTAGGCGAAGCCCTGCGACGGTAGAACATCAAGATCGTCACCACGCCGTCGTGCTGACGGAACTCTTCCCCGACATTCTGCTGGATCGGAGTCTGGGGATCGTCATCGAGCTGAACGTGTGCTAGAACTCGGAGGTGCCGTAGTTTCGGTGCTTGATCGGTCGGGCCGTGAAGACGTACGACTATATCAACCGCGTTGTGCTAACGCTTCTGCTTTCAGTCTGCGAGGGTACGTAGACAACACTCTCCTCTCTCGTTGCTATGCATCACCATGATCTTGCGTGTGTGTAGGAACTTTTTGAAATTACTACGTTGCCCAACAGGGAGGGGGGCTCGGGAGCAGGCGGCTAGGGTTTTCCCTTCATGTCGCTCGCGGGAGCGGCCGGGAGGGGGAGGGGATTAGCAAATATCAGGTCTGCATTCATCTTAATTGCCCAGAAAGTTCCTTTGAATTAAGACAAGCATGATAATTGAGAGCTAAAAGTTAGGATCATACATGGTGTCAATGAATACTAACTTATAGGTTACGTATCTTTACAGTCTTGGGGTTCTCGATTGTCAGGCACAAAAGAATAAAACCATGCGCAATCCTGATATTTCACGCTGTTTAGTATTCCCTCCGTCCGAAAAAGCTTATCTCTTAAATGGATGTATCTGGCATCAAGTTAGTGCTGGATACATTCATTTGAGGAACAAGCTTGGTACAAGCTTTTTCGGACGGAGGGAGTATTATACTATTTAGCAGGCATCCATAATTCCATATACAGTCGATGAATTGTAGTGCTAAAAGTTTAACTGTGACCCTGAGTTTTGAAAATCAAATGTACAGGAAAGGACAGCATGGTAAGCACACCTTGCAGATTGCAAGCTTCCCATCTTCTTGCACAGTGCATTTGCAAGACATCTTGGAAACCATTCCCTGCCTGTCGACCACCTATCAGATATTTACAGGCCGCAAAGTCAATCACCCTCGTCTAAACACCAACCAGGGGATAATTCTCAAATTGTTAGACGCATAAGCCTTGACATGGTAGTGCTCTTTTGTTGAAACGAACTCTAGGCCCATCGTCTTCACAGCGAATCGCTCCATATCATCCAAGAAATCACTGGGCACATTCGTATAGAACGTTTTACGGACCTGGCTATTGGATCCTTCTGCCCCTGCCTCTGCGAGGTCGCGGACAGCGTCCAGGGAGACGAGCGATCCATCAACACAAAAACTGGGTGGTGGCGCGCGTTAATCACAATGCGATGTGAGTATGTGACACGAAGCAGAGATCCAAGAACTGGGATGGAATAGTGAGATGGATAAAAGAAGACTCACCGTTGGAACAGGACCTTGCCCACCCTTGCCACCAGACAGAGTTTTGCCTCCTCGTCATCCCTCGGCACATCGTGCGTCCTCGCCCTCGCCCTCTCCACCGCGTCTAGGAGGTCCGGCAAGAATCTCTCGGTGATGGCGGCGGCCGCGGCCCCGGCCTCCGTGGAGCTGGAGGATGGGGAGGAGAGGGCAAGGACGAGGGGCTTGGCGCCGGACATGCGCTCGACGGTGTAGCAGGGGAAGGTCTCGAGGCGGACAGATTCAGCGTCGTCGGAGAAGGGCGGGAGCGGGGACCAACGGGAGACGCAGTCTGCGGCGTGGATGATCTTGTTGGACGGGGGAACGTGGTGACGCCCGCGAGGGGAGGAGATGGAGAGGGAATGGAGGGAGGAAGTGGGCGGGGAAGGGATTGGGGCGGGCTCGGAGGTGCTCGAGTGGCGCTTGTGGGGAGGGACGTAAGCCATGGCGGATGCCCCGATTGGCCGGTGGCGAGGTCAGAAGGGGAGAAACCGAGAAAGGGAAGCTTAGCCGGCGGTTGTTCACTGAACTCTTGGAAAATGGAAAGTTTAAGGCATCTCCAGCCGTTGGCCTCCCAGGGGGCGTCTAAAAGTGCCTCCTGGGAGTGAGCCGGCGAAAAAAAGGCACTGAAGGTGAGTCGGTCTTCAGCCGTCGGCCCCAGGGCCGCCCCCAGGCGCGTATCTTAAAAAAAACAGAACCGTTCGGCGAAGTTATGATAAAAACTAGTTAAATTTCGGCCAAATATTACAAATTTCGGTGAAATTCGGCCAAACATTACATTAACCTAATCTAAAAAAAAAGAAATGGGCTGAAGTCGTCGCCGCCGTCGCCACCGTCGTCGTCGTCGGTCTTCTCCTCCTTGACGCGGGTGCCCCTGCTGGACCCCTCCCCGGCGTCGCCATGGTGAACAAACGGCGGCGCGTAGTCGTCGTCATCGCTGTCGCACAAGACGACGACCCCGCCTTCCTCGCGGCCGCGTCGGCGCTCCTCGAAGCGGCGTAGGGCGGCGCGCTGGCGCTCCTTCTCCTTCTCGCGGCGCGCCTTCTCCATCGCAATGGAGTCCTGGCGCGCCCATTTGAGGGCCGTGTTGTCATAGTCGTCAAACTCCGCCTTCACCGGCGCCACCTCGTCGGCCCGACGCGCATGTCCGGCGGCGCCGGGATGTTCGCCTGGAACAGGAGTCAGGACTCCTATTCGCGGAGCGAACGGCAGCCGAAGCCGTTGTCCGCCGCCGTATCTCCGAGGAAGCGTTCTGCCATGGCGAAGGCGGGGCTGGGCGGGCTCGGGAGAGGTAGAGGGAGGGGCTGGGCGGCGGCGCTCGGGAGAGGTAGGGAGAGGAAGGGCTGGACGGCGGCGAGGGGCGGGGCTGGTGTGGGCGCTGGTGAGTGGAGGCCGCCGGCTTTTATAGCGGGGATGCGCCCGTGTGTACGCGTGCGAGGGAGGGGAGGCGTCGGCGCGGCCGTCCCGTGACGCGCCGCCTGTGAGGAATCAATGGCAAAGCTGACCGGCAGCAGCCTTGCCATTGATTCCCGCGGGAACTGAGGCCGTTGGGGGAAGACGAGGCGCCGAGTCGCTGACGCGGCTGGCCTGCGTCTTTTTCGCGCCAAAACAGCTCGCCCCGGTGCCCCCAAGCGCCCCCCAGCGCGCCGGGTTCGGCTTGGGTCCGCCGGCGCTGTTTTCGGCCAAAGCCGGCAAAAATCGGGCTCCTAGGGACACGACTGGGCCGTTTTTCGGTGCCGGCGCGAAAAAATCGCCTGGGGAGGCCTTCCTGGGGGCGCGGCTGGAGATGCCCTAAAGACCAACTTTAACATACGATCCCAAACCCCAAACAACGGAGGCGAGGTCAGAAGAGGAAAAGGTGGAAGTTTAGCGATTGATTAAACTCTTGCCTCAAGGAGAAAAGGAGAAAAGAGGGAAGTTTAAATGCCAACATCGACGCACCACCGCTAAATGGACGTTCGTTTTATTTGGATTTCGTCTGTTTAGGGTGAACAATCCAAATCGAGCACGTACGACGTGGCTGACACATTACACATCATGTTGGTCATTTACACTTAATTTAAACATAAAAAAGATAAAACAAATGAAACTTAGACCTATATAATATATTAAATCCAAATTTAGTTTAGAAGGAACTCCCCGCCGTCCATTAAATTTGAATTAAAACCACTGTTCAAGATATCTTCCGATATTTCGATAAATCAACCGATTTATCGCGTACTATTGTCTGACCGATAAGATAAATCGGTAATAAATTAGCCGATATTGCGATAATTGGCCGATATGCCGATAAACTCGACGATTTACCCCTTATCATGGTTTGACTAATAAGTTCCCGATAAACGATATCCTCAACATTAATTAAAACTAAAGAAAACAAAAAACAAACCTCAATGCAACCCCAGACCGGCTTCTCTCGTCGCCGCTGCCGTCGTCCTCGATGAGGTCGATGAATGGCGGGGCTGCCACAGGCCGGCCGGTGCCGCCTGGGGCGGGCCATGCACTGCCAGAGGTGCATGCGAAACCTGCAGATGCTCATGGAGTGGTGACCATGGTTCGGGGCCCATCCAGGAGGCCAGTGCGGACACTAGCTCCGACGTACAGGGCGGCGTCGACATCAAGCTCCAGGACTGCCCCACCAAAGTTGGATCCTAGGTCATGGCCGATGGCTCCAGAACGGCGCTGTTATCTGGCTCTAGGATGGCCACATCTCCCGTGCCCAAAAGGGCAATCTGCACATCCAGCCCATCCCATTGGCTGCACTCTCCGCTCCCCTCATCTTCTCTGCTTCCTTTCAAATCCATCATGCATGTCCCCTCCCGTCATGGCCAAGTCCCTGCCATGACTCTGGCAGCGAACCTGATACCCATTGACTGGGACGACCTTATTAAGGACGGGGACTCCAAAACTAGTAGCAACACGTGGGCGAGAGGAGCTCGCCATCTACCGCTCGCGTCGGGACACCGACGGGAGCTTGAACTCCATTGCATCTGTTGTGTTTGTGTCGAATATTTTGTATTAGTTGGGTTACGCTTAGACTTGGTGTTGTAGTGTGGGTAGGATACTTGTAGTGTCGGAGTCGGACACGTTGTACTCTTGGCCTCTTATATATGAGGAGGCAGCCCACGTTGTAACCCATGACGAGTAGATAGCGACAGGCTCGCAAGGGGGTGCTCGTGGCTTGTGCCGGCGCCCGGGTGGCCGGTGTTGCGGTATCTCGGGGAGGAGCACCCGTAGTCATTGCCCCGGGGAGTAGGCGAGTTCGCCGAACCTCGTTAACAAATCTCGGTGTCGTCATTGTGCTGTGATTGGTTGTTCCTTGTTGGATCGATCGCGTACCTCAGATTAATTCTAACAAGTGGTATCATGAACAAGGTTCGATGAGACTACGGATCAATATCTGGAAGATCGAAGCAATTGGTATCGGCGTAACATGTTCGCTGCGCAGCAGGAGGATCCGACTAAAGCGGCGCGCGGGGCAGGCACTACAGGAATCAGCTACTTTGCATCTGCCACGGCAGACGGCAAAGGCATGGATGGCTGACGGCAAAGGGCTTTGCCATCTGCCGCAGACGACAAAAGGGGACGGCAAAGTAAGGTTCGGCAAAAGAGCTACTTTGTCGTCTGCTTTGGGCGGCTGACGGCAAAGGGGCCTTTGCCATCAGCAGTGGACGGCAAAGAGTGCAGACGACAATAAATGCGCTATTACTCCGTTAGGTGGTTAACGGCAGGCCTTTGCCGTCCGCCGCTGACGGCAAACTTCGGAAGGCCTTTGCCGTCCGCCGAATGATGTCAGCCGACATCACTACACGGCAGGCCTTTGCCGTCCGCCACTGTAGGCAAAGTTTTTACTCTTTGCCGTCCGCCTCCGACGGCAAAGCCTTTGTCGTCAGCCACTGTAGGCAAACTGACCAAATTGGTCGGCCTCCCAGGAAGCACAGTTGCCTACCACGTGGCCTCTTTGCCGTCGGCTGCTGATGGCAAAGAGCCCTTTGCCGTCAGTGGCAGATAGCAAAGAGCCTGCATATTGTCTCTTTTTCTGTTTTTTTTAATCCAACAATTTTCACAGCAAATATATATGACATATATAGATATATTTAACATCAAACATATCACATATCCAGCACATAATTCCATATACATATTACATAGCAAAGTTTCATCAACATAGCAAGTTCCATCCATACACATTGTTCCATATACATATTACATAGCATAGTTTCATCAACATAGCAAGTTCTATCATAGCAAGCTAGATACAATGCAAAGTTTTAGCAAAGAAAAAGCAAGCACTCCATCATAGCAAGCTAGCTTCCATGAAGTGAGTGAAATCTGCAAAATGGTAAATAAGAAAGTTAGAAATAGGTGAATAGAAGAAGAAGAAGACTAGAACAAGAAGTATATGTCATTTATGAGCTAACTTAGGTGAAATGGATCGTATATGAGCTACTAAGTTGAAATGGGTTGTTTATGAGCTAACTTAGTTGAAATGGATCATTTATGAGCTAACTTAGTTGAAATGGGTCGTTTATGAGCTAACTAAGGTGAAGGGCATCGTTTTTGAGCTAACTAAGGTGAAATGGATCGTTTTTGAGCTAACTAAGGTGAAATGGATCGTTTTTGAGCTAACTAAGGTGAAATGGATCGTTTTT